CCCATGCTCTCCACCATGCCATGCACCACGTCCTGCACTGTGCCATGCACTGTGCCACCTCCCACGCTCTCCACCATACCATGCACCACGTCCTGCACCGTGCCGTGCACCATGCCACCTTCCATGCTCTCCACCATACCATGCACCATGTCCTGCACCATGCTCTCCACCATGGAATGCACCATGTCCTGCACCATGCTCTCCACCGTGCCACCCGCCATGCTCTCCACCATACCATGCACCACGTCCTGCACCGTGCCGTGCACCATGCCACCTTCCATGCTTTCCACCATACCATGCACCACATCCTGCACCATGCTCTCCACCACGCCATGCATCATGTCCTGCACCGTGCCATGCACTGTGTCACCTCCCATGCTCTCCACCATGCCATGCACCATGTCCTGCACCGTGCCATGCACCATGCCACCTCCCATGCTCTTCACCATGCCATGCACCACGTCCTGCACCGTGCCATGCACCATGCCACCCGCCATGCTCTCCACACCATGCCATGCACCATGTCCTGCACCATGCTCTCCACCATGCCACCTGCCATGCTCTCCACCATACCATGCACCATGTCCTGCACCATGCTCTCCACCACGGAATGCACCACGTCCTGCACCATGCTGTCCACCACGGAATGCACCATGTCCTGCACCATGCTCTCCACCATGCCACCCGCCATGCTCTCCACCATACCATGCACCACGTCCTGCACCATGCTGTCCACCGTGCCACCTCCCATGCTCTCCACCATGCTACGTCGCATGCTCCCCACCACGCCATGCACCACGTCCTGCACCACACCATGCACCGTGCCACCCCCCACGCTCCCCCCGCTTCCTCCCCGCTGCTGCGTGTGCTGATTCCAGCGATAACCCTCCCTCGGCTTCCTCCCGGGGCCACCGCGCGCCACCGGCCATGGGGCCCCGGCGCTGGGTGCTCTGCGCCGCGCGCCCAGGAGGTGAGTGGCCTCCTCGGCTGTCCGTCCCCGTCCGGAGAGGAGGGACGGTCACTGGGTCACTCCTTGGCACGAAGGTGCAGGATGGAGCCGCGCGGGTGCAGGAAGGAAGTGCCGGGGTGCAGGATGGGGGCTGGATGGGTGCGGGATGGACCCACCTGGGTGCAGGATGCAGCTGGATGGATCAGGATGGAGTTGGATGGGTGCAGGATGGAACCGGATGGGTTCAGGATGCAGCTGGATGGATCAGGATGGAGTTGGATGGGTGCAGGATGGAGTTGGATGGGTGCAGGACGGAGCCACCTGGGTGCTGGATGGTTCTGGGATGGAACTGGATGGGTGCTGGATATGTTCAGGACGGAGCTGGATGATTCCAGGATGGAGCAGGATGAGTTCCAGGATGGAGCAGGATGGGTGCAGAATGGACCCATCTGGGTGCAGGATGTGTTCAGGATGGAGCTGGATGATTCCAGGATGGAGCAGGGTGGGTGTAGGATGGAACTAGATGGGTGCAGGATGGAGTTGGATGGGTGCAGGAGCTGGCTAGGTGCTGGATGGACCCATCTGGGTGCAGGATGGAGTCAGACGGGTGCAGGAGCTGGATGGGTGCCTGATGGACCCATCTGGGTGCACGATGAAGTTGGATGGGTGCAGGAGCTGGATGGGTGCAGGATGGAGCCACCTGGGTGCAGTTTGGAGCTGTGCAACCATCACCTGAAGCCACGTTGAAGCAACAGCAGCACCCAGAGGACCAGGGACACCCTTCCTTGCGCTCCAGCACCCTGGGGAGCCACCTTTGCACCCATAGGGTGCTCAGCTCTGACCCAGCACCCGCTCCATCCCCGCAGAGCCACCCGCGGATGAGCGCAGCGGTCGGACCGCGGCCAAGGGCACTGAGAGCGAAGCCACCCAGCCTGGCACCGTCAAGGTGAGTGGCACCCACGCGCCCACCCCAGGGTGCTCAGCACCCTCCGAGCACCCAAAAACATCAATCCCCTCCCCAGGGGCTGCTATGGAAGCGCCTGCGGGAGCGGAAAAATCGCGGCGGGCGCAG